TCGCAGTTTATTTTTCTTGCTGAACTTGTTACACAAGCATTGTGAATTTCACATTAGGGTCAAGCTGGTAAGCCCCCTCCCCACCGCCACCACCCCACCCCCACCCCCGGCCAGTTTTACAGCTGGAGTAGAGAAGAACAGTGTCACCTCCCATGCAAAGGAGATAAGACATCCCTTCCTGCGTTGGTGCCTATCAGGGAGATTTCAGTGTAACAGATTCTAATAGGGGAGTTGATTTAGAGAGGAAAAAAGAAAGAAAATAGAATGAGACAAAACATAGATACTATTTGAAATAAAATTTTGTTTAGAATTTTGCAATAAAATTTTATGGATTCTAGGAGCATGTATTTCAAAAAGACCTCAGAATTCTGATGTTATCCAATAAAACTGTATGCCACACTCATTGATAACAGTATCAACTATTCTATCTACTTCCTGAACTACTCATTCTAAGACCAATAAGGCTACACAGCAGGCAGACACTTAAATGAAACAGACCCAGTTCTTCAGAGAAGAGAACCTGTGGTTAAAATGCTAACACTTCTGATCAGGTAAGCACTTTACTCTTGCCAATGAGCATTAACTTTTATGTGGATGTTGATCTAAAATACTCTTGAGAAGAAAAATGGAAGGCGAGAGGGGAGGGGAACAAAGCACTGTTGTGATGAAATATTTCAAAACAGGTTTTCTGAGAAGGAAAAATAATTTCAGCATTTCTAATGGCTGTGTGTACCCTCTCTAACTCCCTGGAAAGTTAGTGTGCTCCCCAAGCAGCAGCTTCATTCAAACTAGGATAACAATATTCATTCATTCATTCATTCACTCAACAAACAATTTCTGAACATATTCTCTTTGGGAAAGAAAGATACATAAGAATATTCATGGTGAACACAATCTCCATTATTACATTATTTCCCTTCTGTCTTTTTTTTTATTTACTCTGTGTGTTCAAAATATGACTGAAGAAAAATAATCTAAGGGATAACTCTATTATTGAGGCCTAACATGTGAGAAATAAGAAGAGAAACTAACAAGTGAGTGCCTTCTCAGTATGAAGTACACTGAATAGTTCTGGGAGTCATCAAGACCTAACTTTAAATCACAGTCCCTTCACTTCTTGGCTGTCTGAATGAATGGAAGACCTCAGGGGACTCAGTTCCCTCGGGTGGAAGATGTTCTACCAGAACCTTCCTACAGAGAAGTTGTAAGGATTAAATGAGATGTTGGCAAGGACCCCTCCCCAGAATATATTCAAGTGACAGCTATTGGGTTATCTTTTGGACTCCTAAATGTACATAATGCCTTTCTTAATTCCTATGAGGACTTCTTGGCAAGATGTAAAAAACACTAAATTTTATTTTACCTCAAAAAATTCTTTTCAATGCTTATCTTCTCTAAATATATTACCCTTGGAATTTTCATGCTTCTGCATGTCTCAAATAAATGCGTGGAAAAAAAATCCACCTTCAAGGAGCCCTTCCAATAAAATACCAAGAAAATTCTTACCTAGTTTTGGCAAGGAATAGGGTACTTTAAAGTAGTCTTCATAAAATTCTATTAATCTCTTCGTTATATGGAGAGCATAGTCCCCGGATCCTCTTCTGATGGCATCAGGTCTTGCATATAATCGTACCTAATTAAAAATATATATAAAAGTTACTTTAGTCTTTTAGAGTTCAAATTTTTACCCTTCATGTAGGAATCTACACAAATCACTTGTAATAATACAAAAATTGGACAGTATTCTTGTTCATACATCAAAGCATGCTGTGGCTGAAAGAACCAAACTTAAACAATTAAAGTAACAAAACTGAGTAAGTCACAATTTCCTTGCTTTATAAGATGACATGGAGAAGATTTATACAACTTGCATCAAATAAATATTCAGTTATCACTTACATGTGCTTGCTAGAGATATGAAGGTATGGTGGATTAGATTAATGGTTCCCTGACTATGCTGAAAGTAGGCAGGAAAAGGGGGCTCAGCAGGAAAGGAAATTCATGGTTTGTTAAAAACACATTGCATCAAGCTTTGGAGGTATTACCAAACTGTACAAAAATATAATTTATGCTTCTGTCTTTTCTTTGGAACCAACTGTCCTTACTGCCAATATGCAAAGTAGGAATAAAAAACTTTTCATGCACATAAACGATTACCATTCTGGAAGGCCGTCTGCAACTGCTCCTGGCTTCAAAACTAGCTAAAGTAATTCATATTTCTAACACAATCCAGACACTTACTATTGATTTTTAAATCAAGCATTGTATATTATCTAGTCCTTGGCCAAAAAGAAGCCTGAGGCAAATAACATAAAACAATAAAACTAACAATTGTACAGAAAAGGTTAAAATGAGATTAGTTTTCATATGCTTTCATAAAACTATTGAGCATCTTTCTTTCCAAAGGCTAAGTCTATTTTTCACAGATGTAGTCCCTAATCCTCATATCAATTCTGTGAATGAGAAATGTGTATTCCGGGGAGCAGTAGAGAGCATAGCAGCCCGGGAGTTGGATTTTAGTCCTGCTCTGCCACTAACCAAGCTGGGTGGTGTTGAACAAATTATTTAACCTCTTGGGGTCTCAAATGTTCACATTTATAAAATGAAGGTGTTAGCCACCAGCTGGTTGCTAAAGTGCTTTTCAATCTGAAAACATATTACTTCCAATCCCATTTTACAGATAAAGAAGTTTGCATACTTCTCAAGTCACTAAAAAGAAAATAGGTTACTCAGTAGGTGGAAATGGATATTTATTTTCAACAGCAAGACAAAAGAAAATTGTACTCAATCATATAAAAATTGATTACACAATGAACTCTTTATAATCTTGGCTTAAGGATAAAGAACAATGCGTATAATTGAAAATAATCAAAGTTAAGGAAATGACATTCTGACCTTATGATTCAGTAAGATAGTTACTAAATACAATAACAATTTACTGTAATTGTGAAGCTACTTCCCACCTAACAACCCAATCAAATATCAAATTAAGTTCAGTCACCTACAGTTTTGGTGGGTGGTATAAAACCAAAAACTATCAAGAGATACTACCTGCAATAGCAGGACTTAACACAACTGTTTATAAACATGCAATGTCTTAAGTTCCCAAGAAGCAGATCCTAAGGAAAGGATGAGTATAGAAGTAAGTTACTAAAGAAGCGTTCCCAGAAGAAATCTAGAAGGGAGGTAAGAAACAAGACAAGGGAGAAAGCCAAGCAAGGACGCAACTCAGGCGAAGTCCTGGCCTACTGCTAACCCTAAGGGTGCTCTAGAGTATAATTGCACTGGTAAGTTTCAGCTGCCTTGAAGCATGAGACCTAGACTTCCATACTCCTGCACTTCTGTCACTGGACACTGGTTACCAAGGGAAAGGCATAAAATCCCAGGCACTTCTTGGTTTTGGAGCATCTGGGTGAGGCAGCTCCAGCAGTCCATGGAAGTCCTCTGAAGAGGATTTCTGGTATGTCAGGAGCAGAGCAGTGAGAGCTGGGAGATGGGCACATGAAAGAGGAAAGGAGATCTGATATCCATACACCGACAGTATATAGCACAGAGAGTAACCATTCATTCATTCAACAGACATGTTTTTGTCATCTGCTTTGCAGCACGGTGTGGACTAAGTATTTTTTACTTAGTGATAAAGAATATCTCTAAACAAAGACAGTACAAAGCATTACTGAAAAAAGCAATGAAGATGTAATCCCCATTCTTAGAGAGCTTCCCACTTATTAGGTAAATTAGATGATAATCACAGATAATGATACCTGCTGTATGAATGGCATACATGACAACTAGATACTGGGGAAGAATGGCTAGCTTTCAGAAGGTTCAAAGTGAAGTAAAGAGTAAATTCATGTTAAAACCAGAACCAGAACAACTGCAAAATGATGCAACTCATTGATAACAGTATCAACTATTCTATCTACTTCCTGAACTACTCATTCTAAGACCAATAAGGCTACACAGCAGGCAGACACTTAAATGAAACAGACCCAGTTCTTCAGAGAAGAGAACCTGTGGTTAAAATGCTAACACTTCTGATCAGGTAAGCACTTTACTCTTGCCAATGAGCATTAACTTTTATGTGGATGTTGATCTAAAATACTCTTGAGAAGAAAAATGGAAGGCGAGAGGGGAGGGGAACAAAGCACTGTTGTGATGAAATATTTCAAAACAGGTTTTCTGAGAAGGAAAAATAATTTCAGCATTTCTAATGGCTGTGTGTACCCTCTCTAACTCCCTGGAAAGTCAGTGTGCTCCCCAAGCAGCAGCTTCATTCAAACTAGGATAACAATATTCATTCATTCATTCATTCACTCAACAAACAATTTCTGAACATATTCTCTTTGGGAAAGAAAGATACATAAGAATATTCATGGTGAACACAATCTCCATTATTACATTATTTCCCTTCTGTCTTTTTTTTTATTTACTCTGTGTGTTCAAAATATGACTGAAGAAAAATAATCTAAGGGATAACTCTATTATTGAGGCCTAACATGTGAGAAATAAGAAGAGAAACTAACAAGTGAGTGCCTTCTCAGTATGAAGTACACTGAATAGTTCTGGGAGTCATCAAGACCTAACTTTAAATCACAGTCCCTTCACTTCTTGGCTGTCTGAATGAATGGAAGACCTCAGGGGACTCAGTTCCCTCGGGTGGAAGATGTTCTACCAGAACCTTCCTACAGAGAAGTTGTAAGGATTAAATGAGATGTTGGCAAGGACCCCTCCCCAGAATATATTCAAGTGACAGCTATTGGGTTATCTTTTGGACTCCTAAATGTACATAATGCCTTTCTTAATTCCTATGAGGACTTCTTGGCAAGATGTAAAAAACACTAAATTTTATTTTACCTCAAAAAATTCTTTTCAATGCTTATCTTCTCTAAATATATTACCCTTGGAATTTTCATGCTTCTGCATGTCTCAAATAAATGCGTGGAAAAAAAATCCACCTTCAAGGAGCCCTTCCAATAAAATACCAAGAAAATTCTTACCTAGTTTTGGCAAGGAATAGGGTACTTTAAAGTAGTCTTCATAAAATTCTATTAATCTCTTCGTTATATGGAGAGCATAGTCCCCGGATCCTCTTCTGATGGCATCAGGTCTTGCATATAATCGTACCTAATTAAAAATATATATAAAAGTTACTTTAGTCTTTTAGAGTTCAAATTTTTACCCTTCATGTAGGAATCTACACAAATCACTTGTAATAATACAAAAATTGGACAGTATTCTTGTTCATACATCAAAGCATGCTGTGGCTGAAAGAACCAAACTTAAACAATTAAAGTAACAAAACTGAGTAAGTCACAATTTCCTTGCTTTATAAGATGACATGGAGAAGATTTATACAACTTGCATCAAATAAATATTCAGTTATCACTTACATGTGCTTGCTAGAGATATGAAGGTATGGTGGATTAGATTAATGGTTCCCTGACTATGCTGAAAGTAGGCAGGAAAAGGGGGCTCAGCAGGAAAGGAAATTCATGGTTTGTTAAAAACACATTGCATCAAGCTTTGGAGGTATTACCAAACTGTACAAAAATATAATTTATGCTTCTGTCTTTTCTTTGGAACCAACTGTCCTTACTGCCAATATGCAAAGTAGGAATAAAAAACTTTTCATGCACATAAACGATTACCATTCTGGAAGGCCGTCTGCAACTGCTCCTGGCTTCAAAACTAGCTAAAGTAATTCATATTTCTAACACAATCCAGACACTTACTATTGATTTTTAAATCAAGCATTGTATATTATCTAGTCCTTGGCCAAAAAGAAGCCTGAGGCAAATAACATAAAACAATAAAACTAACAATTGTACAGAAAAGGTTAAAATGAGATTAGTTTTCATATGCTTTCATAAAACTATTGAGCATCTTTCTTTCCAAAGGCTAAGTCTATTTTTCACAGATGTAGTCCCTAATCCTCATATCAATTCTGTGAATGAGAAATGTGTATTCCGGGGAGCAGTAGAGAGCATAGCAGCCCGGGAGTTGGATTTTAGTCCTGCTCTGCCACTAACCAAGCTGGGTGGTGTTGAACAAATTATTTAACCTCTTGGGGTCTCAAATGTTCACATTTATAAAATGAAGGTGTTAGCCACCAGCTGGTTGCTAAAGTGCTTTTCAATCTGAAAACATATTACTTCCAATCCCATTTTACAGATAAAGAAGTTTGCATACTTCTCAAGTCACTAAAAAGAAAATAGGTTACTCAGTAGGTGGAAATGGATATTTATTTTCAACAGCAAGACAAAAGAAAATTGTACTCAATCATATAAAAATTGATTACACAATGAACTCTTTATAATCTTGGCTTAAGGATAAAGAACAATGCGTATAATTGAAAATAATCAAAGTTAAGGAAATGACATTCTGACCTTATGATTCAGTAAGATAGTTACTAAATACAATAACAATTTACTGTAATTGTGAAGCTACTTCCCACCTAACAACCCAATCAAATATCAAATTAAGTTCAGTCACCTACAGTTTTGGTGGGTGGTATAAAACCAAAAACTATCAAGAGATACTACCTGCAATAGCAGGACTTAACACAACTGTTTATAAACATGCAATGTCTTAAGTTCCCAAGAAGCAGATCCTAAGGAAAGGATGAGTATAGAAGTAAGTTACTAAAGAAGCGTTCCCAGAAGAAATCTAGAAGGGAGGTAAGAAACAAGACAAGGGAGAAAGCCAAGCAAGGACGCAACTCAGGCGAAGTCCTGGCCTACTGCTAACCCTAAGGGTGCTCTAGAGTATAATTGCACTGGTAAGTTTCAGCTGCCTTGAAGCATGAGACCTAGACTTCCATACTCCTGCACTTCTGTCACTGGACACTGGTTACCAAGGGAAAGGCATAAAATCCCAGGCACTTCTTGGTTTTGGAGCATCTGGGTGAGGCAGCTCCAGCAGTCCATGGAAGTCCTCTGAAGAGGATTTCTGGTATGTCAGGAGCAGAGCAGTGAGAGCTGGGAGATGGGCACATGAAAGAGGAAAGGAGATCTGATATCCATACACCGACAGTATATAGCACAGAGAGTAACCATTCATTCATTCAACAGACATGTTTTTGTCATCTGCTTTGCAGCACGGTGTGGACTAAGTATTTTTTACTTAGTGATAAAGAATATCTCTAAACAAAGACAGTACAAAGCATTACTGAAAAAAGCAATGAAGATGTAATCCCCATTCTTAGAGAGCTTCCCACTTATTAGGTAAATTAGATGATAATCACAGATAATGATACCTGCTGTATGAATGGCATACATGACAACTAGATACTGGGGAAGAATGGCTAGCTTTCAGAAGGTTCAAAGTGAAGTAAAGAGTAAATTCATGTTAAAACCAGAACCAGAACAACTGCAAAATGATGCATCAAAAGGTCACTGACTTTACACCCAGGAAACACATTGATTTTGGTGGAAACACAACCATTCCTATCAATCAACACTACTAGTCAGTCAAGCTATCTGTAGGCACAAAGAAGAGAAATGATTAAATCAATCTGGTTGTCAACATTTGATGGAAATGCTCCAATCTGAGTAAGAAGATAAAACATACAAATACTTAGCACAGTGTCTTCATTTGTTCATTCAAACATTTATTGCATGCCTGCTGTGTGCTAGGCATTGTACTAAGGAACAGAAATACAACAATAAAAATTCCTACCACAAAACGAACAAGACATTTACACCTCCTGCTCTTCACAATATGTGGAAAACAAACAAGTAAATCAACAACAAAAATACAATGTGAGAAATTGACAGTGTACTCTGCTTTCCCTCCCAGTACAAAGGATTAACTGATTGAGCTCCTATCCAAGGCCAAGTCCTCTACATCCAATCCCCTCTTGCCTTTTCAAAGACACCATTCCCAAAATTCTCCCCTTTTTCTCCCACATCACCAATTTATGCATCCACACCAGATCATTTTCATCAGCAAATAACCTATATTATATCCTACATTTAAAAAAATCTTAACCACATTTCCCCCAGCTACAGTTTCCAATAATGCTCCTGAAAAAATTGTCTCATAGTAAGGATAAATATATCAGTTAATATACAAACTAGAACATTCTGAGCATGAAAAGCAGCACTCACACCTTGAGACAACAGGTATAAGTCAGGTGGTTGTCTACTTATTCTCCTGTTTCTAGTCTCTGTTGAACTCACCGCAACATGGCTTTCCTCCCCATCACTTACCAGAAGTACTCTCACCAGGAGCACAAACAGCCGCCAGATGCCAATTCCAACACGTTCCAACCCTCAACATGCTTAACCTATGGGCGGCCTTTGACATAGTTGATCATATTCCCCTCTTGGAAACATTTTGTTCACTTGCCTTCTACCTTACCTTTCCTTCCCTCTCACTGACCACTCCATCTCCTGGACAATCATTCCTTATCTTCATCTCTCTCATTTCTTAATGTTGGAGGGTCCCAGGTTCCAATCCATAGATGTCCTCACTTCTCTGTCTACATTCAGCCCCTTGGTGTTAACATTTAGTCTCATGGTTATATATATTATTTACATGCTGAAGACCTATTCCCTAATTCTAGACTTCCAGACTTATTAACCCAACTGCCCACTGGACATCTCCACTTTGATATCTAATCAGAATTTCAAACTTAACATGTTTGAAAACAAATGCCTGATATCACTCATACACACACACACACACACACACACACACACACACACACACACACACACCTGCTCCTCCTGAAGTCTTTCCATCCAGCTGCCCAAGCCCACGCCTCAAGATCATCTCCGGTTTTCCTATTACTTTTCTACTTAGTGTTCAATTGGTTATCAAATCTGTTGGCTGTACTTCACAAATATATCCAGATTCCAACCACTTCTCAAACCCTAGCACTACCACCCTGGTCCAAGCTTTCTTCATTTCACGCATAGATGAGTGCTCTAGTTCTAATTTCCCACTAGAAAGGGATGCGTCATCCCTCACAACCTTCACTCTATTCTCTACACAACAACCAAAATGCTCCTGTTAAAATGAACATCAATCCATATCACTTCTCCAGTGGCTTCCCATCTCATGCACAGTAAAAGCCCAAGTTTTACAAGGGCCCCCAAATCCCTATAAAAATCTACTCCCCTTTACCTCTCTGGTTTCATTTCCTACTCTTTTGTTCCACACCAACGTTACTCCATTCATATACTAGCTTCCTTGGCATTTTTCAAACATGCCAGAGAGTCTCCCATCAAGGCTTTTGAATTTTTCACCTCGATATCTCCATGGCTCATTCCCTTTTCTCCTTTAGATACTTGTCCAAATATCTCTACTTTCTGAGAAGTCTTCCCTCCCACCCCAGGACTCTCTGCCACCTTCTTTGTAATTGCTCTCTGTAATTTTTATTACCATTTAAAAAAAGATGTTTTGCTTATTCATTTTGTTCTTGCTGCCTTTTTCTAAGAAAGTAAGTTGCATGAAGGCTAAGATATTTATTAGTTCTCATGATGTGAGGGTGCTATTTTTTTAGGTCAAAATATTTTGTTCAATTTGCCTCTCAAGTGGCTGGTACATAGTAGGCAATCAATAAACCTTTGATGAATGAATGAATGAATTTCACAGGTATGTGTAGTCCTAAGGGAGTATACAATAGGAACCCCTTGATAAGTCTGTGGGATTCTCAGGGGAGGGGATTTTTCAGCTAAGGCTTGAAGGATGAGTTGGATGTCATAAGTTACCAAGTGGAGGAGGATGCCCCAGGTCACAGTAACATGATGTGCTAAGGCAAAAATGCTGACCAAATAACAAGTGGTTTTAAATATAATAGCAAATATGGGTACTTTATTATAATACTGATGGCAAGTCATTGGAGGATATTAAACCAGAAGGTGAGAAAGTTACTTTTGGATGTCAGTGAGATCATGCCAGTGACCAGCATTAGATGAACTGAGTTAAGTTGCATGAAGGCTAAGATATTTATTAGTTCTCATGATGTGAGGGTGCTATTTTTTTAGGTCAAAATATTTTGTTCAATTTGCCTCTCAAGTGGCTGGTACATAGTAGGCAATCAATAAACCTTTGATGAATGAATGAATGAATTTCACAGGTATGTGTAGTCCTAAGGGAGTATACAATAGGAACCCCTT